GGGGGTGGGGGCGCGGCAGGAGGCGGGGAATTACAACTCAAGTTGAAAATTAAACCATTGAACCAATACAATCAAACCCTTTAGTTTTTATCCCATCCCAGAGGTAAAGATTTTGTGTAATCATTTACCTCCTAGGGATTATAAAATTGTGAAACCCAGAGAGAAATGTGTGGGGAAAGAATGAGACCCTGCACCCCTACTTCCGGTTCGCCTTTCTCTTGTTTGCTTCTGAAATTTGGGAATGGCGCTTTTTTCCCTTCACGAACAGCTGGATTTGCTGTTTTGTGATTGAGGGGGCGGGGAACGGAGCTCCTCTCTCCTGAGCTCATTATGAAAAGTGAAAGGATGTCTGTCAACTTTCCTGAAAGAAACAAGAGTCCCACGCTCCATGCAATGAAATGCCTCCAGTGAATGGCATTACAGGTTGACTGAATAAACGGAAGGATCCAGAAGCCAATCCGCAATTTAAAGGTATACTTTAAAGGGTAAATATTAATCAAATATTGAAGTAGACTGGGAAATTTGCATTTAAGATTCATGTTTCGATCTTGTTTTGTGGAAATTATTAGGGTTTTTTTTAAAGGGCCAATCAAATATCTATGCTTAGCCCAATATGTAAGTGCTGAAGTGTGATTGAGAATAATTGTCAGGAGAGCTAAAAAATCAAATGAATAAAAAGAGATCTTTCCATTAAATTTACATATGGAGAAAATAAAAATAAATTCTGAATTTCTTTGAAACCAAGCAATGAGATGTTGAGTTTGAGGTAAATAACTTTTACTTAGGAGCTCGAAATAAGAGCCGTGTATGGATCTCCTATATGAAAACTGTCAGTTGCAGAGACCGGATGGAGTTAACAGTTGAGGTCTTCTTAATAGCTTTGTCCAGTGACTGAAATCAAGTCTGATTGTGCAATGAAATGGTGACTATAAAAGTAGATACTCATTCAAAGGAAACAGAGAAAGAGTCTTGATTAGAGAATGCGACGTGAGAATGTTTGTGCCCATTTACGAATACATGAATAAATAAAAAACTTTAACTCCATGTTCACTGGTTCCTGCTCAATTAGCCAAACCCCACATCGATAAATACAACTTCATTTCTCACCTAGACCTCAAGGGATTTGAGTCTCAAGTCTACCTGGTTATCTTCCCTTCTTAGGTCTTGGGTCTAAGAGCCATCTCAAATCCAAAAATATCCAGTTGTCTACATTCCAGTTGTCATCAAGTTGATTGTGCCTCAAGGAAGCCCCAGGTGTCTCAAGTGAGAATTGTCCTGCACAGGGTTTCCAGTGACCAGTTTTCTGACGTAGAGCATCAGGGCTTCCGTATGAGTAGCCTCTGAGTGGATATTCTATACAAACGCTTGCTTTTCTTCTGGAACTCTAATGTTCTCCTGATTTTACAGAGAGAGGCTAGTATAATATCATGCAGGAACAAGACATTTCTCTAGTCATTGTGCTGCTTCCCCTTGCCACTTTTATTTTAGCAGGTCAACAGCAGTTCCTCAGAGGAAGAAACCACAATGTCTACTGGAACTGAAGCCAGGGACACAGAAAGAGCCATATCCAAAGACAGTAATAACTCACACGCACGTCCAGTGGAAAACACCGGAAGAGGTACAATCACACGCAGTCATCTTATCCTCATTGAGACTGGAATTTATGTCACCTCGATTTCCCTTTCAGTGTGATACAGCAACATCTTGATTCACTA